TCCTGGAGTATTCTTGTGCCCACTTTGTCGTTCTCCACGATATGATGGAACAGCTTATTGCCGGCCGTCATCTCCACCGCTGTGTAGAACTCTTTACCGCAATCGAAATTCTCGATAAGCATTCCGTAATAGTTTTTGGCCACCGAGTCATAGCTGCCGCCCCTCTCGCGGAATATCTGCAACACTTTGCGCACGGAATCCCTTCCGTTCAGAATCGTCTTCCCGACCATTGACCGCAAGAGTTGGTCTTTTTTGGCTTTTTCTTCGATCAACATATTGTGGTTTTGTTGCATTGAGTTCTCCTGACGCCACAAATCACTGTCAAAATCACAACAAAATGGTTACAATCTTATAGTAATTATAACAACTATTATTCTCAACAAACTTTCTCTCATTTTGTAGCGAATCCTTCTTCTTCTTCATATCATAGAAAGTCTTGTTTTGGTTATCAATACTCGATCTGTTGTTTTCCAACTCTTTTGTCAATTCCTATATAAAATCAAACCAAATGTAAGTAAAATTCTAAAACTAAATAACATTAGTGTTAATCTCACATCAATTTTGGCCTCCAATTCTTCCTTCCTTTTGGCGTCTTTCTTGAGGTCAGCGCCAAGTCTGTCGATCTGCACGCGTTTGTCGGCAATGTTACGCCGCAAAGACTTCAACTCAGTTTGGATCCAATTGTCTCTTTCGTGTTTAGACGTGAATTGAGAGCCTCTTCCCTGTTTGGCGTAGAGTTCCGATCGTTTCTGTTCTTTGAGACTCAGTTTTCGAGTGCAGTCCTCTTCCATTCGCTTCATCTCTTCATATTCGGGTCTAATTTGGTTCAGTTCCGCCTGTTTTTCGGTGATTCGCTCCCGAAGTGCAGTCAACTCGGTTTCGGCCCTCTTCTTGGACGAGGCGTCGCCTTCGACCTCGTCTTTGAGGTCTTTGATGTGGAGCTCGAGTTTGGTCTTCTCCTTAAGAAAGGACGAGTGTTCGTGTTGTAGCGCTTCCTTCTCGTCCCGAAAGGTCTGCAGTTTTGTGCGAACTTCTCTCAAATCGCGACTCAATTCCTTGATCTTATCGGTGGAGCCCTGAAGCGCTTCCCTTAGCTTTTCGGTAACCATACCACTGGTCTCGCGCCGGGTCTCCAATTCGCGCTGCCGTTTGCGGGAGTCCTCCAACTCGTTGTTATAAATGGTGTATTCGAGCGCTCGTCTCATTTTGTCCCACTTCTGGTACTCTTTGAGCTCTTCCTTCTCGCCCTCCAGCGTCTGCAGGCGTTCTTCGATATACTTCAACAGATCAATGATTTTCTCCAATTTGTTTTCGGTGTCCCTCAAGAGGACGCGCGACTCCTCTTTGCGCTCGTCGTAAATGCGAGTTCCGGCCACTTCTCGCAATATCTTAAGCCGCTGCGGGTCGGGAGCGGTGGCCATTTGGTTGATCTTTCCCTGTTTGACAATATAGTAGGGATTACTGCGCGAAAAGCCGGCGCTTTCCAACACATTCATCACATCGGAACGCGTGACGATCTTCTTATTCAGATAGTACTGATCCTTCTTGAGGCCGATCTGTCGCCGCAAAGTGAC